GGATTTAATAGGTCTGGGTTACAACCTGGGTATTTGTATCAAAAATCAAAACAAAACACAAAACACCTCCAGATGATTTTCTGCAGAGCCAGAGTTGAGAACTGTGGCTCTAGGCTCATTACCATTGCCCTTGTTAGCGTCATTGTTATGGGGCAGGTTTCCTAAGACTTTAAATTAAGCCCAGTTGCAATTTGGAGACAATCCAAATGAGGGAAGTCCTATAAGAGGAGACACCAGTCTCTGATGATCTCATAAATAATAATCATGCTCTACATCAACACAGATTAATTTGCCAAAGAGCAGAATGTGTACCACTGGTGATGTGGGCTGGTCATGTCACTAAATAATGCTAAATCTCAGAGTAACCCAAATTATGGCCCCTTCAAATCTCTTTCGGTCCTCTGATTTCATAAAGAAGTGTCTGTTTGGTGCTAGCTTGTCTTTAATAACTCTCCGGTTCTTGCCACCCACCAAAATTCACGTAACACTGATCTCAATCTTTGTCCCCATAGCAGCCAAGTGAGAAAACCAGAACTTATGAAAAAGCCACATCACAGGCTACCATGTAAAGGCTGGGTCTCAGAGACATTGGTCACTTGCCAGCAAACTCAGGTCGCTATTTCTCTCTCCTCTCTCTCTCTGCAACTTAGTTTTTTTAAAAAATTGTAACATAGTTTATTATACATGTCTGTGGGGTACAGAGTTGAACATCATTACCTGTGTGCAATATGTGATGCTCAAATCAGGATAATTAACATACTCAACATTACACAATGTAATTATTTTTCGTGGCCCTTTACCAGTTCTGTCCTTACCCTCTTCCCCTCCCCCCCTCTTCCCCTTTCCCACCTCTGGTAATCTTAGTCCTGTTCTCTCCTTTCAAAAGTTCAACATATTATTGTGATGCACAACTTAACTTTTAATGAAAATTATGCTGATAGATGGGGTCCTCTGCCATAAAATTGGGAGATGCCCATTAGACTCCATTTCTTCCTCTAATCCCCGAGTAAGGGCGAAATAAATCCCACTAGAGGGGGCGGGGAGGAGGCATAGAGAGTAAGAGAAAGGATGATTCACAGAGAAGAGTAAGACCTGTTGGTTCAGGAGACAAATTTCAAAAGTTACGTGGAGAAAGACACGTTTGCAGACAGAATTCTCTTGCACACCAAGGAAGCAGGGACTCCTAAAATGCTTCCAACCCTAGCATCTTAAATTGTCTTCAGGTGGCAGGGAGAGGTGAATTAGTCCCCTCCTCCCCCTCAATAACAACAAGCCTCTGAGCTTCAGGATGGAGGCAGGGGGAAAGAGCTGAACCAGATGAGGAGATTGAATGTGAACCAGATTAAACCCTGGAGGAAATGTCTGCACCTGTTACTGGGATGAGATTTACTCTTGGCTAACAGAGGGTGTCCTAAGCCCTCTGCTAAACTTACAGTCTGACCACTTGAAGTTCAGCCACCACTAGGCAGGTCAGAGGCCCATCACACCACCTGGGGTGCTTGTTAAAAAGACATATCTCCCCTCCCCCACCTCTTGGTGTGATTCTTTAAAGATGGGCTGATTTTGATGATAGATATCCATGGGCTACATTGTGCCAAACACTGACCAGGGGTGTCTCAGACAGCACGTCACAGAAAAAGGTGGGCAATGGGATAGGTAGGGGATGCTCCCAGCCAGGATGTGGAGGCAGGTCCAGGAGGCACCAGAAGTCCTGTCCCATAGGACAGTTCTAAGAAGGAACCAGGGCAACCTAGGATTCCAGAGCATGAAATAATAATCTCATTGATATTTAGAGTCTCAGAAACATATGCTTTTATTAATAATTGAAAAAAATCATAAAATAATAGAATACAGTAGCAGTAGAGCATAGTGGTTACAGAATCGGTCATAGAGTCTGACTTCTTTACTTGGTAGCTGGGCAACTGACATCAAGTTACTTAACCTCTCTGAGCCTGAGCCTGTTTCCTCATTCATTAGATGGGCATACTAGTAAGTATAATATAATACTTCCTTGGATTGTTCAGACATATAAATGAGACAGCACATTTAAAGTACCTGGTGCAATAGACTAATCATTTGCATCTCTCCCACCTCCCCCCAAATTCTTATGTTGAAACCTAATCCCCGATGTAATGGTATTTGGAGGTGGGGCCTTTGGGAGGTGATTAGGTCACGAGGGTGGAATCCTCATAAATGGGATTAGTGACCTTTTAAAAGAGACCCGAGAGATCTTTTGCCCCTTCCACCATGTGAGGACACAGTGAGAAGGTGCTGTCTATGAACTACCAAATGCCAACCTGCTGGCGCCTTGAACTTGGACTCCCCAGCCTCAAGAACTGTGAGAAATAAAGTTCTGTTATTTATAAGACACCCAATAGTTTGTTATAGCAGTGGGCTAAGACACACAAGGTATCGAGTCTGGCACATGATAATGGCTCGAGGAGTTCTTATTATCATTAACTGGGTCATAGAATCTTAGAGCTAAAAGTGATCAGAGAGGACATCTAATGAGTCCGATGGCCATCTAGTGACACCTGGAAGAAGAGGAATCAACAAAGGAAGAAGTCATGAGGTTGGCACGGCTCCCCTGTTAAGCTTCCCCTCTCCAGGGGGCCTAGCCTCTGGTTGCTGCCCAGCTGAGGGAAGGGGCACTATTAGCCATTGTGAGAGTTTGGAGGTCCACCTCCTACAGACTCTAAACCTGAGAACCTCGACGTTCTGCATTTACTGACACTCACTTTGCAGAGCTCATGGTCCAGCTGTCTGTGGGCACCAGCGGGATCCTCCCTCCCCTTGCTCTGGTGTTTAATCAAAACTGTATTCAAAATATGATTCTGGGAGATTATACTAGGAGATTTGCAGTAGACTTCTCAGTGGGGGCAGAGATTGTGGGAACAGATTGCTGCTGGGGGCCTGAGGCTGAGATAATCATAGGCTCAGATGTGCCATTCTCAGGCCCTGCTCCTGGACCCCTGGAACTCACCACAACTGGGGAGAAGACATTGAACACCAGCCCCGAGAACTAGATCATCATGGTATTTTATAGCTGGGGAACTAAGAGGGGAAGGGGCTTGTCCAAGCCACGTAACACAAGGTAGTAATGAAATTAAGAAGGTAAAGCAGGTTTCTGGGATTTCAGGACATCTTTTTCAGCTCCTTTCACATCCCACTGTCTCCAACTAACTAGGCCCAGATCTTTGGGACAACTGTAGGTTGCAGGCTCCTGCTCTGGGTTGGGGAGGGTGGGGAGACTCTAGGCTTCCCAGTCAAGAGATGGTTCCTGGAGCTGGAGAGATAACCTCCTGGGGTCCTGGGTGGTAAAATAGGGCGACCCAGGCTGGCCTTCTTTCCCAAGGTTCACTGTTCCTATACAAAGCTGAATGGCTGGAGGCAGTGTACAGGTAAGATCCTCCCATCCCCCACCCTCTGGATCCTAGCACCTGCTGAGCCGTATGCGCTTGGGTTTAGATGAGTCCCTTCTCCAATCTGGCCTTCAGTTTCCCTCTCCACGTGCAGATTCAGTATGACACTAGAGACCCCTCTCCCCTCCAGAGAATAGCTAACTGGAGCCCCACTCTCAACTAGAGGCCCTAGGATGGAAGCCTCTGCAGCCTCTGCAGCCTCCGGAGGGGTCTACCTGGCCCCCCAGGAGGGGGAGGGGTCGAGAGCGCATTGAAAGAAACCTCCAGCTAATGCTCTTTATTACAAGCGTTAATCCCGCAAAGCCGACTGGAAATAATGTTTATCTTTTCGCAGTTTAATTTTCCGGACCCTAAGCCGCGGGTCAGCGAAGGCTACTGGAGTGTCCCCGGGGAGGCTGGGGATGGGAGCAGCTGTTGCCCGGGAGCAACACGAAAGCGAGACAGGGCGCGCGGGCGAGCAGGAGCCCAGAAGGGACGTTGGACCCTGAGTGGCAAGCTGGGGTCCGTCCCCACCACGGACCTGTGTGACGCCGAGCCACTCCCCTCAAGGTCCCATTTGGCCTCAGTTTCCTCGTCTGAAGAGGTTTGTGCTTCGCAAATCATGGTCTCTAAAGTCCCTTCCTCCTCCGAAGGGGTGTATTCTATGGAAAAGACGACGGGATGTGGCCGGGAAGTGGCACACGCCCTCTGGTCTCCACCGTACTTCCACCCCCCACGTTTCTCCTCCGCCGCTTCCAAGGGTCGTGACATCTATCAAGGAGGCGGGCCCTTCTCGCCCCAGACTTCGGTGACTGACCGTCTGGCATCCGCGCGGGTCTGGAAGGCCGCCGCCCAGCCCGGGTGGGCCGCGCCACGCAGGGGCCCAGCATGTGGCAGATGCGAGTCCCCAAGGATGCAGCCGCTAGGGGCACAGGGCAGCTGCCTTTCTAACTGTCTTCCCGTCTCCATCAGCTTCCCAGATCTCCCCTCTAGGTCACTGCCTCGGGTCCCTCTTTCCCTGGAGGACGAACCCAGGCAGCCTCAAGCAGCCGGCACCGCGCGGGCATCTTTAAATCTCTCATCCGCCGCCCCCACCGCCCCTCCGCCAGACACCGCTCGCGAGGGGGACAGAGCCCCCTTCTCTGCCCGTCAGCTCCCATTGGTTGGCCTGTACCGGAAGTGTTTGCTGACACTTTTGATTAAACGGAAAGAATGCGCCCTCTCGCCTCACATGCGGGTTGCCCGACTTTGCCTTTAGGTTCGACGAGAGGAGCGCGGCCTTCCTCGTCCCTCCCTGCAATAAGCTTACAACCCAAGTACCAACCCGGAAACAAATGCAGCTTCCAGACACATATCCTGACATGTGTCCCACGCACACGAACCAGCAGGGTAGTCAGCCTGGCTCAGCGGGTTGGTTGCGCAGCGTCGGGTCCGCTGAGGGGCAGACGCCAAGGCCTTGTCCCTTACCTTGTCAGTTTCTCTCCCCACTATGAAATGGACTGAGGTCTGCAGCCCACACCGCCCTGTCCCTGGCTGCATTCCATTTTTCTCTCCACCCTTATCTCGCCAAGCCCCCTGGCACAGATAGGACACACAGCTTGGGTTTGGATTGGTCATTTTTAAGGATACAAGGAGTAGAGTGGGGAAGGGGGAGAAAACGCACTGGTCCTTAGGGGCCAGATCAGCGATGAAGTTACAAAGTGAGGGGGATGAGGATGAGGGGCAGGGGTGAGCAGGAGAGGAAGTGGCTTCAGGCCCTGAATCCAGAGCAGGGAGACTTGGTGGAGTCAGTGCTCCTGGCAGACTTGCCCAGTCTACCACTTGGCCTTCCCTAAGGTGCCCTGCCACCCCATCCATGGGACTTGATAGGGTACATGTCTGCCCACCACCCCCATCTTGCGTGCAAGGACAGCTGCTAGGAGGGTTTCTGTGTATCTGTCTCTTAGGCGAAGTGAGAGTTCCTGGTCTGTGGCAAGGTCTTCCAGCTTCTTAGCGTGGAGGTGAGTTCAAAGAGTGGGGCCCATTTCCAAGATTCTTCTGCAAATCGCAGTTATTGTGCTAACCTGCTGAGAGAGGAAAGGTTGATTAAAACCGAAGGCCACTTCATGGCGAATACTAGGAAACCAAAGGTCAGCCGTGTCTCATCCAAAGGGAAGCAAAGGTCTAGAGGTAAATTGCCTGCCAGAGGTAACATTTGGACCTGTTATGTGTAAATTCAAATAACAGTGTAACCCAATTTTCTAAACCAGTAGCTAATCCTGAGAGAAATTACTGCAAAGAGCTGAATCTGATAGCAGTCTAATGGTTAAGGAATATCCCTGTGTGGGGTGAAATTCCCTTCCACCAGGCCCATAGCTCAGCAAAAGAACCAGCCAGGGTCAAAGGACACTGGCAGTCACAGTCTGTTTGGGGATGGGCCCTTGGGGGTGAGTGGTCTCCAGGGACAGCACCAACCTTGGGCTTCCAAGTTGAACACAGGAGTATGTCTATAATCCCCAGGAGTTTTAGTGGGCCAAAGAGAGTGCTGTGGGTTAAACTTAAGCGCTGACCTTGAATCCATAGTATGTGGCTACCCCAAAGTACTGATGCCTGCCCAGTCCCAGAAAACACTTGGTAATCAGCACAGCAGGGAGACAGCTGGGCTCCTCCTAAGGGGTCAAAGGCTTGGTGATGTACACCTGGTACATTTGGCAGAACACTGGACCTCAAAGGCAGAGATCTAGGTTGTCCATCTCTTCAACGACTTTCTAAGTAATGCTAGGTAAATTTCTGTCTCCCTCTGAATTTATTACTATTACAGTATTTGGCTTTAAAATGAGAGGGGACTAGAACTTTTATCTCTAAGCTTCCGTTTGAAAGAGTCTTGTGGAACAATCTCGTGACAGGTCTGCACTTGGGCACGCAGGAGAGGCAGAAAGAGGGTGCAACGACTGGGCAGAGTGGTGGTGGGCATCTTTTGGACAGACACCCCCAGCGCTGTCGGGGGCCCACTACCTTCTGCTCCGGACGGGTGCTGACACTGCACTGCAGGCTCCCTCTGCCGCGGGCAGGGCACACAGTTCAGCGGCAGCCCCTGCAGGGCAAACGTGGGGTTTCCAAAGGCTTTGGCTACGCGGGAAGACTCATCGCACGCGGAGTCTCTGGGGATCGCAGCTCGCCCGGCGTAGCCTGGAGGCTGTCCGCAAATCAAATGGCACTCAGGACTTCGCGGTCTGGGCCGGTTTGGGGGTGCACATTCAACAATGCTGGCTGCTGCAGTGTGCGCCAGAGACCAGATGCGCGGTTTCTGGCTGCAAGGGTAGTGCATGGTCAACGTGGGGCCCCCTGTCTCGGGGGCGAGGAAATCAGCTTCTCCTGATCCGGGGAGCTCATTGAAGGAGAAGCGGGGCGCCGCCAGGCTGCACTCCCTGCGTTCCATTCGGCCTTCTCGAGCTGCTGCGCATGGAGCGGGCAGCGACTGTGCGCTCTTATGGAACTCCGCCAGCCTGTCCGCAGCTGTGGCTACTCCCTCCTCTTCTTCGGCTTCTTCCTCTTCCTCCTCTTCCTCCAGGTCTTCTAGGTCACTCAGCGGGAGCCCCCGGGCCTCCTGGCTTGCAATAACGTCTGTAGGAAATCAAGAGCGAGTGAGAAAAGCTCCAGGGCCCAAGGGAAATCCTCGGGAGTGCCCACCCCTGAGAAGCTTTTAGCAAGACGCGCCCTGCACTCAGGGCATTCTCGTGTAATTCACCAGACCTGCCACGCTGTCCCTTACACTTGCCCCAGGGCAGGCCGCCCGCCCCTGGGAAAGAATTCCCGCCCCAGCCCCGCCCCGCCCCTTCGAACACTCCTCCTCTCGCGTGCAGCGCCGAGCCAAGGAAACGCCACTTTGAGCGGAGTCCCTGATCTTAGTTTCTCAATTGTGAAAAAGCGGGGCACAGTTTTACCCAACTCAGGACCCACAGGTAGCTGCTGTTATATTATTTAATTCAACAATTATTTACTGAGTGTCAACTATGGGCCCGACTCCATTTAGGCGTTTCGGTATTTCGGTATTCAGCAGTGAGTTGGACAACCAGTGGAGCTGACCTTGTAAAGGAGGTAGACAGACGTCGCGTATGTAGACGTTCTCATAGTGATAAGTATGGCAAAGGAAATAAAACTGGCTGGCGTGATAGAGAAAAACTGGGAAGCTACTTTGGCTTGGGTGAGGAGGGAAGGCCTTTCTAAGGTAATATCTTGAAGGTGAGAAGAAGCCGTTTCTGTAGGGAATTCCAGGCAGAGGGAAGCGCATAGGCAAAGGTCCTGAGGCACGCAGCGGAGCACCTCTAGGAGAACCTACCTCATGGCTTCGAAAGACCGATCAGACTGCTTGATGGCTTGTAAAACCCACAGGGTAGGGGTGAACATTTTCAGTACCTTTGGTGTCCCCGTTGGGGCAGCCTGGTGATTCCTCTGCCCCGCCCTCCGCCTTCCTCTCCTCCCCGCCTTTGTTCTTGGGCGCCCACGTCATCTTGTTCTCCTTCTTGAGGCGCCGGCGCGCGTTGGCGAACCAGGTGGACACCTGGGTGAGGGTCATCTTGGTGATGATGGCCAGCATGATCTTCTCGCCCTTGGTGGGGTAGGGGTTCTTGCGGTGCTCGTTGAGCCAGGCCTTGAGCGTGCTGGTGGTCTCTCGGGTGGCGTTCTTCCGGCGCCCAGCCCCGCTCAACTCCACGGAGCCATACCTGTGGGCAGAACTCAACTCAAGTTTTAGGTTGGGAACGAGGGGCTGGGGGCGGGGGACAGTCTGCGACCTGGAAGTGTGGTTCTGCTCCCATCCTCTTGCACCCCACCTTGGCACGGGATGTGCTTTGCCAGCCACCAAGGCACCCCACTTCTTACCGGTCATATTGGTACTGCCCCAGAGTGGTTTCATAGGAATAATAGGCTCCTGGTTGTGCCAGGCTGGGTGTAAAACTCCCTGCAGCTTCCTTAAATTCATACTGTGGATTCTGTGGGAGAGGAAGAGAGAATTCAGGACTACATTTGGGGAGGAGGCAGATAGTAGCTAAGGGTGTGGACTCTGGGGTCAAGTCTGATTCAAATCCTGGTACCACCACTTGCATTGACTGTGTGACGTTGGGCACAGTTGTCTAACCGCTCTGTGCCTCAGTTTCTCCTATAGGTTATTGAAGACCGAGACCGTGTTGGTGGAACGCTTGGCAGAATCCCTGGCACAGCATAAGCAGTGGTTAAATATTAGCTGCTATTGCTGTTAGGGCTCTTGTCCATCCCTCCACTCTCCCAGCTGGGCACTTCCCCACTTTACTCTCCTTCCAGAGCTCTTCCCTAGCCCTTTGTATCTTTGAGATTTGGGGTAAGTTATCTGAACCCCTCTGCATCCCCGTTTGAGTATCTGTAAATTGTAAATAGTGATGACTTGCATACCCTACAGAATTAATAGAAGTACAAATGTTTTCTAAACAATATAGAGTGCTGCAAACTGTAAAATTCTATAAAGACATACTTTTTTTCCCCCTTATACACAATACTAACCATTTCCTTTCTTAGGAGTTGTGTGTCCCTCCTTGATTTTCCCTGGAGATGTCACATTGGATTTCACCTGCTGCTGCTGCTCTGCCCCTGGGCCGCTCGTGTTTGGGCGCTTAGACCCAGGCCCCACCCCAGTACTCACCAGCGCCCCATACAATGCGGGCGGCTCCGGGCCATAGGACAGGTAGCCAGGGTAGCTCTGGGCAGCTGCAGCGGCCGCGTAGGGGGCTCCATAGATGCCCAAGGCAGCACCCAGCTCTGGCCGCGCACTGCCCAGCAGCCGGCTATTGCAGGGTGCGTCTGAACCCCTCTGCATCCCCGTTTGAGTATCTGTAAATTGTAAATAGTGATGACTTGCATACCCTACAGAATTAATAGAAGTACAAATGTTTTCTAAACAATATAGAGTGCTGCAAACTGTAAAATTCTATAAAGACATACTTTTTTTCCCCCTTATACACAATACTAACCATTTCCTTTCTTAGGAGTTGTGTGTCCCTCCTTGATTTTCCCTGGAGATGTCACATTGGATTTCACCTGCTGCTGCTGCTCTGCCCCTGGGCCGCTCGTGTTTGGGCGCTTAGACCCAGGCCCCACCCCAGTACTCACCAGCGCCCCATACAATGCGGGCGGCTCCGGGCCATAGGACAGGTAGCCAGGGTAGCTCTGGGCAGCTGCAGCGGCCGCGTAGGGGGCTCCATAGATGCCCAAGGCAGCACCCAGCTCTGGCCGCGCACTGCCCAGCAGCCGGCTATTGCAGGGTGCGCAGCACAGAGTCGGCGCCACGGTGGACCCAGAAGCCACATCTGAGACCGAGCGTGGGGCGGATTCGCAGCAAGTGGCGCTGGAACTTGCAGACACCAGAAACTACGGGGGCGAGAAAGGGGGCACTGGATGTCACAGACCTGTGCCTCCCGCTGGTGGGAGCCAGAGGCAAGGAAGGATCGCTCTTTCATTCTACATTAACTACACGCCGCCGTTTGCTGAGCATTCTTTTGGGTGCTGGGAGGGGAATTATCCGAAGGCAATTTACTCAAACTGCCCTCATAGATGCGCCTACACCATCGCTAAGGCTCCAGGGTCCCAGGCGGTCTGAGAAATGTGAACATTCTGAAACTTGAATTAGAAAGGCCAAATCCTCTGCTCCTACCTCTTCCCCGCTTATGGGATGCTACAAGGGCGGAGCTAGAAGTTGGCCTTAGAGACCATCATCAATGTCTCATTCCTACTCCCATTTTATAGATAGGGAATCGAGGACCAGAGAGTGTGAGACTTGTCCAAGATCACACAGCAGGTCAAAGGTCGAGATAGCTCTAGATGGCAGGAAAATATACCCCACTCTCTGGAGAAAAAACAGGAGGCAGTGGTGAGTGAACCCAGAATTTCCCCAGCAAACCCTTGTCATTGTATGACACACACCCTGGTTTAGAAAATCGAGGGAACCAGAGACAGAGCCCAAGGTTGGACGTGCCCAAGGAAGGGGGAGGATAAGAACAGAGATCAACAAATGAACAATATGGGGAGAAGGACAGAGCCCTGGCCTGGAAGTCTTTTTTTCTGATACTCTCTGGGCCACCTCAGACATCTGTACAAGGAAGAGGTCTGACTGGAAGATCCCTGAGATCCCACCCACCACACTGGGTGTGTGGTAAAAATGCCCACGTTTCGGGTCACAGGATTTTCCAGCATGCACTTGGGAAGTGCAACGTTCTGTCAGGGACTGGGGATGTCAGAGGCGGCTGTGGTACATTACCCTGGTCCTTGCTCCTTCTGGCTTCCCCTGGGACACGAGAGGAGAGGAAGAAGCTCAGGACAGGTGCATGCACTGGGCGCCCTCTCCACCCAGTCTGCCCCCCACTCCCCCTGGAGGCGCCTCTTACCTGGGAAGCGCCGCCGTACGGGTGTCCAAAGTGCGGGAAGGACATGGTGGCTGTCCCCGGCCCGCCTCCCTCTTCTCTTGCGAGTTCCCGTCTTAGCCCCGCGGTTCGGCGCCCCCAGTCGTGCGGCGCCTCGGTTCCTTACACGGCTGTGGACGCCCAGCGTCGGTTCCTCGGCCCGCTTGGCGCGACTGGCGGCAGAGCCGAGGGCAGCCCTGCTGCCGTGCCCTGCGCTCCGCAAGGCGCCCCTCCGGCCCGTAGGGTCCGGAAGACAGAAGGGCCCATGGATGGGCAGGAGAAGGAAGAAGGTGCGGGTTCCCAAAGGCGCGCGGTGGCGAGGTGAGTCGCGGCGCGGGGCTGTGAGGCTCCCGAGATGTCCCAATCCAAGGTGGCCAGAGGCTCGATGTGACGTCACGGTAATCCCGGGCCGCCAGACGGGACCCCGGGCCCCGGGGCCCCGGGTCACCAAGCGTGCCAAGTGCAGCCAGCCCGTGCGCGCGCGCGCACTCTCACCCACGCTCACACTTGCTCGGGGAGGTTTGTGCAGCTGGTGAGGAACCTCAAAGACCCTGACCCTCTCTGCTCGGCGCTGGATTCTACCCCTTTTCGCCTCAAGCTGACGCGCGCGCACACACATACAATCTCTCCAAATTACCCGGGAGAAGTAGGAGAAACGCCTCCCTCTGCGCCGCGCAGGCCCCGGGCGCTCACCTCCTCCCTTGCAGCCCAGAGGAGGCGAGAAGCAACCGAGGCGGCGAAGGAGGAGAGAATATAAAAGAAAAGACAGGAGAAAAGTGGGGGAGAAAGGCAAGAGGGAAAGGGGGGTGGGAGGAGAGAGACGAGGAGTCTAAGGGAACAGAGGCGCGCGGGGGCGGGGAGGGATCTGGGGTGGGCGAAGGCTGGGCGGAGGCTGAGCACTGGCAGGTGGAGGAGAGCAGAGGCTCGGGGGAGAAGCCTCCAGCCCGGCTCCTCCGCCCCTCCGCTGCAGGAAAGTTTGTTCGCGCCACAGGCCCGGAGCTCGTTGAAGCAGCTCCGAGCAGAGTCGGTGGATCCCACTGGTCGGCCCATCTTGGTCCTTGGGGATCTGGCTCCACTCCTCAGTCTCCCCAGGACGCTGGCTAGATTCCAGCTCTCCAAGTCCTGGCCTTGGCCAGGGCCTTGACCCTGAGGCTTCTCTGCAGCGCCTGGCCCTCGAATAGGCCGAATAGCGCCCCCTCGAGGCGGAGGTTCAGGACCCCGCGGCCATGGCCTGGCAACGCGCCAAGTCTGACCCCTGAATCTGCAGACCGCGGGCTAGGACCCTGGGGCATCTCCTCCGAAGGCGAAGGCGAGGCTTCACTGCCTCGCACGCGCAGCCCGCTGTGTCCGCGGGGAAGCCGGGGAGCTTGAGGAAGGTGCCGTGGCCGGGCTGCAGCCGCTGCGCTCCGCTGGGGGTGGCGCTGGCGAGCCGCAGTGGAGACTGCAGGAGGGAGGCCCATTCCCTGCTCTCCGCCCGGACGCCCTGCTGGGCCCCGCGGTCTGACCACCCCACTCCAACATCCAGGGGTCTTCAAAGGGATAGGAGTAGGGGGACCTCGTAGGTGCCCGGGAGGGGGCTGAGTGCTCCAGGCCTGGCCCCCCGCACAGGGCCAGTTTGCTAGCGCTGTAGACTGCACATAGGAAGGCTCAATCTCTAGGCCTGGAGCTACCCATCTGAGGGCCTCCGATCTGGATCTGCAACTTCTGGGGACAAAAAGCGGCGGCCGGTCTGGTGGGGTCAAGTTTTCGGCGGGTGCTGCTGGGATCCGGTGGGGTTTGCAGGCCAGAAAGCCTCACCTTTCCCTCAAGGGGTCGCCGCACTTTACACTTTATAAAATGCTCTCCCAGGCCCTCACTGCAACTCTCCTGAGTAGTCATGAGTGTTGTTAGTTCAAGGGCCCAGTTTTATTTTGTAGTTGAGAAGCAAGAACGTGTGGCCCAGAGGATAGCAACAGCTCTGGGTTCTAACAAATAGAGGAGGAAGCCCAGCGACAGACTGGGGCCATGGCTGGAGAATCTCGCATCGCAAATTTGTCTCTGGCACCTTGCAGTCGGGACTGGTAGGCCCAGGAGCCAGTGACCTCTTTAGAATGACAACACTGGCTTTCTCCCCTTCTTTCTTTTTCTTCACAGATTCTGCGGAATGTTCAAGGAGCATTTAAGAAGCCACAAACCGCAGACTCCCCCTCCTAAGAGATTATTAACATGAGGACAAACTCCATTCAAAATACCAACAAACCCAGCTCGTACTGCGGAGTGCTGTTACCTTGGAGAAACCTTGTGTTCAACCCATGAACTCCCAGTTACAAAAAGAATTATTGTCATTTCCAGATTGATTTAGTGATAAAAATTCACCTTAAGAGATAGATCCCTTGATTTTTAAAAATGCACTTTTGAGCCATCCACATGTTTGCAGCTTGAATACATCTAAGCTATTTTTTTAAAGTAAGAATTGGAGAGCATTCATTAAATTAGTCCCTTGGGGAAGATTACTGCTAATTAATTAATTGCAAACATTTCCAGAGGGAAGGTATGTCAATTGTAAAGTAATAAAATTAGATAGTCAAAATACTTACTCAGCAACTTTGATTAACCACTCTTTCCTAAGCAGATTTTTTTTTTTTTTTTTTTTTTTTTTATGACAGAAAAATGGGATGGTGGTGCAGGAAAAGCATTAGCCCCGTCCCTTGGTGATAAGATTGCAAAGGAGAAACTACCATATAGGAATTATTGATTTTTAGCTGATTTATAAGACCTCTGCGGTATCAATGCTGTGTGCAGGGCCTCTAGGCGTACCTCTTGTCTTTGCTCTCTAGGATTAGAGAAAAGCAACAAGATTTTTAAAAAGAAAAAGAAAAGAGGATGAAGGACAGTGGTGAAGTAAATTTGGAGATAGGACGATGAAGATATCTCAGCATTTTTCTTCTGTGGAAAAAGAAAACCAAAAGACAAAAGAGCATGTTTTATGCTAAGGCACCTTTTCTATTGTCTTTAAGGTGCTTTATAGTTTTGGTGGCTTCTATCAGAATGTTTCCCAGGGAGGAAGGCCTGCCGTGTCTCCCCTGGTTTTCCAGCTTTGGGAGAACTTGACTTAATATTTCTTTCCCAGAGATAGGCTGCAGCCTATCTCTGTGTGGCTGACACTTGATTATCACCTCGAGCATTTAGGGGATCCCTAAAAGTGGTTATAAAATGTGCCTACTTGCCCAGTTATTTTGGGAACCTCATAACAAAACAAAGCCAGCGGGTTAAGCCAATATTAACCTCTGTCTGGCAGAAACCTCAGATGGAAAGAAGGCTGTTTCTTGGAAAGTGTGATTCAGGGAAGCTGCAGTGGAATTTGCTTGCGTCTTCCTGACTGTTCACAGGCCACCAAGTCGACAGCCCTGTGTACTGAGCTTCTCCACCACGGCGGCTTTTCATTGCTTTGTTCAGTGCTGATTAATTTAGTTTTGGGGGAAAAAACCCCATTGTATATATGTACACATAGAATTTTATTGAAGCAAGTAAATAAACTGTTCAAATACAGACCCTCCCAGTTATATTTAAGGGAGTTATTCCACCTATTGTATTTTAAACTAAGAATGTAGTTTCTTTTGTTGTATTGTGCAACATGCCTGATAGTTCTTCTAGCTGCTCATTAAAACAAATATGAAACAAAATAAACAGTCAAAGGTCTATTTGGACCAGAGAGAATGCTACTCCACATTGTTTATTTGAAGTTCCTATTGCTTTGCTGTAAAAGCTCTGAAGTTCCTGACCAAGCAGAGTAAAGAATGTGTGTTTGACGATAAACTCGCATGCAGGTACCACAAACAAACGAAAAGGAAAGCAAACCATATTGCATATTTTGGGTTAAAAATGTCAATGATTTCTTAATGATTTATAAAGACCACAGATTTTACTGAGGGGGGTGGGGTGGGGAGGAATAACAACCTGAAAATGCCCCAAATCAACTTCAAGTGCCTCAGATCACAGATGGAATGAGTGAGTACATGGACATAATAACATACTTGAAAATGTGCTAAATTATATTTTTTAAGACGGATTTTTTTTAGTGACTGTTTTTGAACTGAGAAGAATGAAATTTCCTCAAATCTATGCATGAATGAACAAGTACATCTGGACAGATGCATCCATAATTTATACTGATCAGTCACCGCAGGTCTCCCCGAGTAAAGCCGAAATGAACACTAATTGTTTTGACGGAAGTAGTGTGCATGGCACCTGATTGTGAAATGCAGTGAGTCCCTGCCTTGCCTCGATACATATTGTCAACAGCAACTCTGGCATCAGGAGGGGAAAATACAAAGGCAATAATTCCCAGATGAGGGTGCTGATGTCACTTGTCAGGAAGGTAGCAAATGGAAAAAAAGAATGAACTTCTTTGGAATAAAGTAAAAAATGAGAATGAATGTGGAGATCCTGGTTTGCCTGAGCTTAGAGTTAAAAATCGATAGCATGTTAATAATAATAAAATTCCTTTGCTGTATCTTGCTTAAGGCTCATGATAACAATAAGGGGGGGGGGGGGAAGCAAGTCCAAGATCACATAGCCAAGTAGATGACAGAGGAGGGACCAGAATCCAGACCTCCTGATTTTGGGTCTTTCCACAAGACCATATTTCAAACACATACAAAGCCTGACACAGCCAGGAGCTGTTGCTAACTCCGATTGTACTGTGAAAATTCACATTTAGTGCCCTGTGATGATGATGCCACGCAATTTAGTAGAGAAAATATCTAGAGATGCCACCGTAAGCAAACAAGTTCAGGTCTTCACTACATGCTTTTACATCAACCTATATTAAAAAGAGCTTATGTAATAATTTGAGATCTTTAGAAATTTGATGTGGAACATTAAAATGGCAAACAGCAAGCAGATCCATCTGTGACTAAGTATATAAAAAACAAAGACAATAACTAAAAAATCCCACAAAACCCTGTTTTAAAAAATCCAGCCAAAATAATGTTTCCATAGCTACACTGGTTTTAAAAATGATTAACAGAATTTAGTGACTATTTTCAGGAAGAAGAATTTTTTTAAAAAATTGTTTTCGTATGAGTAGGTTGAGAGGTTTGCTACATTAACTTCTCAATTTCAAAGCAATTTTTGTATATAGATGTTCTTGATTATTTTTATCCTGTGGAGGATGACATCTTTCTAATGATAAGCTCAAGGCATCTGATGTGTTTTCAAGGAATTAAAATTTAAAGTAAACAACAGATGTATGGATTTGAAAACCAGGGAACAGTTTTTGAAGCCAAAGTGTTTGGGAAAGAGATGCATGTAAGAAATAAAGACCTTAAAGGGCCAAGATGTAGGGACTCACTAGGATAAGATGACATGTCCTTTTCCCCCTATGTGACAGGGCTTAGGAGTGGTCCTTGAGTGTACAAGTAGGGAATAGAATTTTAGGTTAGACAAATGGAAAAGGGAACCGTAGTATTTCTGGCTGTGACTACAGTAGGGGCTGTGTGTTTTTGTGCACAACTCTCTAACGGGAGCTTTGCTAACACACAGTTTATAATGATGATATTTTGTCATTCTTCTCCCTAAAGGAATTCTCTGCCATAGACTTTAAGGCTTCAATTAAAATATGAGGAGCTTCAAGCTGTATACATATTCATCTTCTTAGTGGTGTTCCCCCAGTATTCTCGTTCTCTGTGGTATCTCCTACTTTTAAAGCTGAGCAATAGAACTGTCCAGGAGCCTTCTTTTTGTGCCACCTGGGTCCTGCTACTTTAGGGAAGCTGGGACCATTTGTAATGTCACATGCTGGCCATGGTAATTTATGACAAACCCTCATGAATCAATGAAAATATGGGAAGTATATCATTTTTAAAGAAAAAAGAGAGAGAGAAACACATGAGACATGCCCATTAAGGGCATAGCCATTCTAATACCTGCATGTCTGCTTGGGTCTGCAATTAAAAACATTCTGATAATAAATCACCTTGCAGTCTCTTTTAATGCTTTTAACTTTCCTGAAGGTTCAAATTGGTATCCCAAAAATGTGCCAGGACTTTCACAAGGTATTTTATAGGGTCATAAATAAATACGGCAATTAATCTATGCTATATTTCTTTCATATTTGATGACAATTTATTATGGCATTCACCCATTCAGTGCACAAAAACTCTAATGCACTTAAAATCGGATTTCAAACCAAACATTTTATGGGAAAATATAGTATTGATCATCCATTTAAAAATATCATGAAGATGATTCATAACCTGCTGTAAAAAAAGATCTCATGAGGATCTTACAGATGAGTGCAGTGGTGGAAGAGTCTATTCATAAAATCAGAGCTACTGGGTCTGTTCCTCTTGTTTTCTTCATTTATCTT